CCCGCTGACCAGCTGTCTGCCCCGAGGTCTCCCCGGCCCCCGCGGTCCTGGCCCCGCGCTCGCGCGCCCCGCGCTCTCATCATGTTCCTCTTCACCCCTGCGCCCCCTGCGCCCCCTGCGCTGTGTGCCCGGCCGCGAGTGCCCTGGGCAGCAGCTTGTGTCAGAACTTTCATTCTTTGGCGAGGCCAGCTGTTGGCGACACGGGTGGGGTTGGGATGCGCTTGGGGAAGGGGGCGCCGCTTGGTCCTCAGCTCTGGGTTCGCCTTCGCTCATCTCTGCTCCTTGCCCCCAACACCGCCGGACAGCGATAGTGCGTGGCCTGGACTTCATTGCCTAAACCCTGCCTGGCCCTAGCTTGGGCCTGCTCACTGCACAGAGGCCACGGCTGTCTGCCAGACGCAGGCCGGTGCCCCCCTGTGCCCTGGGGGAGGGGAACGCAGGCGCACCTGCCCCTGCTCTGGGGCCAGGACTCTCCCTTCCCGCAGGGCCAGTGGGTAAGAGGTCTCAGTCCCCTGAAGGGTGGGAGGATTAGGTGGCATTTCTCAGGCTGGATCTGGCCTGCTGTCCACTGGAAAATTTGTGAACACTTCTTTGGACCCTGGGTGTGTAACAGAAGACTGGAGAGCTGGACATGCCAGGCCTGTCCTGTCACCAAAGGATTTGGGCCTGTGTTGATGCCACCCTGCCAGCTGTCATGGTGGCAGGGATGACCCTGGCGCCAGGGTTCTTTTGGGAAGAGGCCAAGGAGATACTGCCCCTGGGGTGGCCGGCAGGAGCAGTGCCCGGCAGGCATTTGGGCGCTTTGCTCCACCTTGCAGATATTGTGGACAGTGCAGGGTTACTATGATTTGGGGATTGACTTTGGGTGACTCAAGGGAGAAGCGATCGTGGATCGCTCGTGTCGTCCGAGCACCTCTTGGCGTGCCACCGGCCATGGGCTTTCCCAGCCTCTGGACTGGACAGTTCTTTGTTGTGGAGGGACTGACATGCATTGCAGGATGTGTGACAGTGCCCGTGACTTCTGTCTGTTAGATGTGCGACAGTGTCCCTGACTTCTGTCAGGTGCTGGTAGCTCTCCTCACCCCCCTTCGCTAGCTGTGATGACCAAAAATGTCTCCAGGCATTGCCAGGTGGCCCCTAGACAGCAGAATCAGCCTCGGTTGAGCACCTCTGAGATAAGATTCTAAAAACGAGCCCTCCCCGCTGCCAGGGCCTCCTGGTGCCGCCCGTGAGCAGCTGAGGGGTTGAGGAAGGATAGTGTTGCGCCTCCTGCCCTAAGTGAGCCACAGTAGGAGCCCGCAGATGGCCTTAGCAGGAGACCCCACCTCGGGGCCCGGGGACAGGCGAGAGGGAGAGTCCGCAGTCTGTGCCTGCGGGATGCATGTGGCATTGGGCAGTGCCTGGCCGGGTCTGCAGTGCAAAGAGGTGGCCAACGGGTGGCTTTACCCCGGGGAACTCGGCGAATCTTGTGAGGACAGGCTTACGAAGTAACCGTGGGGACAGTGTTTAAATAACGGGCAAACAGGCTTGAGTGTCTGAGCACTAGCGGGAGGTCACCTCAGCTCCACAAGTGATTTCCCCAGGTGATGCTTCGCTCACCCTCGCTTTCTGCTGAGGTAGCTCTTGTGCCTTGTGATGTGCTTGGTGTCCAGGCCTGTGCCTGCAGGGAGCGAGTGACCAGTTGCACTTCAGGGCTACCCAGGGTGTAGCCGTGCAGCGGACGCCACGGGGGTTCTTCATAGCCGATCGGAGTGTGGTCACCATCGGGGAGCCGTTTCTTTTCCTGCAAGGAGTGCTTGTGGGGGGCAGGGGACAGCCTGAGGGCCTCGCACCCAGGCGAGACGTTTTACTTCGAGCTTAGATTTTGCCTTCAGGATAACCTGCTGTTTATGCACCGGACTGCGAAGGCTGAAACTGATGGGAACGCAAGGAAGATGCAAACCAGTGGTTCTTGCACAGGGCAAGGGAAAATGTCCCAAGCCTGACCGTGAACTTCTCCTGTTGACGGGCCCTGTGAGGTATCAGGATTTCTCCATACGTTCCTTGGTCAGCTAGGGCTGTCCGTGCCTTTTGGACTGGGTGGGGGACCTGGATAGGGAAGTCACTTTTTGCTCGAGAAGAAGTGTAGAGAAGCCTGTTTGGGAAGCTCCGAACTTGGCAGGATCATTTTCCACCCCGAGCCACTGGATTCCGAGTCATTAACTTTGCCCGTTGAAACCAGAGCTGTGTGCAGAATTAGACAGGGCGGTTTCGCCGGAGAGTCGTCTTGGTCTCCAGTGCTGTCTGGAAATAGTTCCGCATTGCTGCCAGCCCCAGCGGGACCTTGGGAGAGCCGGGGAAGGCGTGCTGTAGGGGCTGGGGACAGCCTGAGGGCCTCGCACCCAGGCGGGGTACGGCCCCGAGGACCCCCATAAACATGCGGCTGGAGCGGGCGTGACAGGGTCTCCTGCCTGTACTTTGTGGGCCAGAGTGGCATCCCCTGGGTGGCCGTGGTGTGCCATTGGCTTGTGGGGCTCTGGGCGCCTCAGCCCGTGACCTGCTTTGATGCCAGGGCCCCCCAGAATATTCCAAGCGTGAAGAACGGGGCTGAGAATCTCATTGTATTCGTCGTTCTTGTGTAGGACTTAGGCTTAGCGCCGGGGGCTCACGAGAGAGCTGAGTGTCTTCACCCACCTGGCCACGCTGGGCGCTGTGGACTCTGCCTCAGGCAGCGATTTTCTTTCTTTCCGTTTTAAATATGCCCCGTTCTCTTCTGGGCTGGGGGAGAGGAGCGCATTGGTCCAAACCCGGGAAATCCCTGGGTGCCCTACACTAACTCTGGAGTCACGAGTGGATCTGCTCAGTTACTTTTTTTTTTTAAAGATTTATTTATTTATTCGTATAGAACTGGGGTACAGGCCAGAGATGCGGAGGGTGAGAGGATTCCCCAGAGACAGACTGGGGAGCAGAACAGGCAGATCGACAAAGCACACTGCTGAGGGGAGCAGCGGGCGGGTCAGGAGAGGTCTGCCACGCCCTGTGGTCACCTCCGGGGCAGGTGGGGATGGAACTCAAGCGGAAGTGGCCCCAGCTTCTTAGTTCTGTGCTTTAACCCGCTGCGCCAGCAGGGAGGGCCCTGCTTAGTTACTTTTTGTAAGCAAACAGTGACCACTGACCACTGCCTGGGGCGTGGCCCCTGGGAGCTATCACCGTGGACAGGGCTCAGGGAGCTTGTGGCGGGGTGTGTGGAACGCACCTGGCACCTTCCACGTGGTGTGGGCAACACCACAGTGATCGTCTTCTCGCGAGTGGAAGCAGGAGCAGGTATGTCAGCTGCACCTCTGAGGACGAGGCAGGTTTTAGCGGGAAGAGGCAGGAATTTGGGGGGTCAGGAGCCTGTGATTCCCAGGCTCTGTGGCAGCTATTAGGCTTTGCTTTTCCCTTTTATTGCAGACAGATGCTGTTTTAAAAGTGTCACTGTAGCTATGAAGTGTGCAGCTGTGAGCACTGGCCCAGACAGTGGGCTCCCTGAGGGAGTCAGAGGCCGGTGCCTGCGCTTGGGGCGCGTCTCTGCGGAGGGCAGGGAGGGTGAGACCTGTGGGGGCTGGCTGGGGAGCAGTAAATCGCCTCCATGTCCTGAAGCATCTTGTGTGATCTGCCCTGAGGAGTTGGCTGTCTGCAGTTGGGGTTCTGGGCATGTTAGCTCAGCAGCAGGGCCAGGAAAGCTTGGCACGGTCATTTTCACCTCACAATTCAGGCCAGGCCAGCGGCAGCCTGGCGGGTCCCGCAGGGCCCCGGGGAGAGGGAGGCCACCTTTGGCGTGTACGCAGCCTGCGGGGACGTGGCGGGGTGCTGGCCCGCCGCACAGGACCTGGGGAGCCAGGTGCAGCGCCTCTGGTCCAGGCGGCTCTCTGTGCTGGGGGCCTGTGTGACGCCTGAAGGTTCAAGCCATTTCTGTGGGAGAGGAAAGTACCTGCTGCGGCCCGAGCCGAGGCCGAGGCAGAGGCCCTGGGCAGGCGGGCCTGCGCGGACGTGGGGGGGCCCCGGGAGGTGCTCGAGAGAAGCGGGCGCGTGTTGACCGAGTCGGTGGGCTCAGGAGACGTGGACACAAGACAGATTCTGGGCAGAATGTAGAAACTGTGCAGGTGGGACTGCTGGACTAGTGACCGCTAGTGGGGTTAGTGACCGCCAAGTGATGGGTGGTGGGACTTGGTCGGTGGGGGGACCTGCTTCAGACCTGAGACGGGCGTGGCGGCGGAGGAGGGTGGGGAGACGGGCCGAGGGCGAGACGGCGGTGGCGGCCTGGGGCAGACTGACCTGCAGCAAGCCCACCCTTTCCCGTATGTGGCTCTGCCGCGGACGGACACGCAGCTGTGTCCACCACACGAGGCGATTCCACCGCCCCTCACCCCCTCCTGGACCTTTCTGGTGTGGGGGTGCTGTGTGCGTGTGCCCAGCAGCCTGTGCTCTAGCTTTGCTTCGGGGACAGCCCCTAGTGCCTCCCTGCCTGGCTTGAGAATGGGGTGCTGAGCGCCCACGGAGGGACCGAGGGGTGGGGGGTCAGCGCCAGGCCTGAGGACTCCTGTGTATGCAGGAGATGGGGACGAGGAGCTGCTGAAGGAGGCTGAGGGTGTGGGGAGTCGGGTGCTCAGAGAGGATTTCAGGGGTGAGTGTGGGGCCAGCAGTGAACGCTGAGGTGGGGGTGGGGCTAGCGAGGGCCCCAGGACCCGCTGGGCTGAGCCGAGGTGTGGCCTTGTGAGTGCTGCCGAGGGGAGATCTTGGGGCCAGGGCCGGGCTGCGGGCCGAGAGACAGAAGATGGGGTGCACTTGCCTTTGGGAGGCCTTGGGAAAGCTGAGACTGGGTTTGTGGCCGTGAAGGTTTTGTTGGCAGAGACACGAGAAAATAGGTCAGGGGCAAGTTCTGGTGGAGGAAGAAGCAGGGGTGAGGGCCAGCGAGGGGAGGAGCCAGGCCAGGGGAGGGAGAGCGCGGCGGCCTGGGGTTGGGGGGCAGCCAAGAGGACAGCTGTAGAGTGAGGGAGGCCTCTGCTCCAGCAGCAGGAGTGGGGGGCGGCGCTGGAGAGGAGCTCCCGGCCCCCTCTCCTGCCTCCCCGAGGGGCTGGTTGGTGGCTGCAGTTGCCTGTGTGATGCTCCGGGGTGGTGCAGGGCAAGAAGGGGGGGCCCTGGGGGGGCCGTGTGGCTCCCCCGCCCGCCCCGAGGGCAGGGTCTGCCCCGCCGGGAGTCAGTGCCCACAGTCCCTGCGCAGGCGCCCTCTGGCCCCCTGGGCTCCGGCTCCGCCTGTGGAGGAGGCCCTGGGCTACTGGCTGCAGCCAGAGGTCACGCCGGGCCCCTTGCCCACACCTGGCAGTGGCCGTGGCCCGGGGCTCACGTGTGGTGGGTCCCTGGCGCGGGCTGGGCCGGGCGCCGCCGCCTGCAGCCTCCAGGAGCCGCTTCGCGGGCGTCCGGGTCGGGGAGCTGCAGGGGACCTTGTCCCTGCTGTGTGGGGCCCGGGGACGCGCACGCGCACACGCACGCACGCGCATGCACGCGCACGCACACGCGCACGCACGCGCACCCACGCACGCACACGCACGCACACGCGCACCCACACGCACACGCACGCACACGCGCACCCACACGCGCACGCGCACGCACACCGAGCTGGAGTCCAGGCCTGGGATCCGCCGTGTTTGTTCGCCGCCGCTTCTGCTGGGTGCCGGCCCGCCGGGAGGCGAGGGGGCTGCCCTGGCCCTCCGGCGGCTACTGTGTGACCGCGCGGCGCTGCCGCTCCGGCTCCTGGGGTGCTCGCAGCCCGGGCGGACAGAGGGGCCAGGCTGCTCCCCCCTCCCGTCCGCCCTCCCATGAGCGGGGCAGGATGGAGCGGGCGGGGTGCTGCGTCCGGGGCGCCCTCCCTGTGCCCCGTGAGCAGGCCCAGACTGGCCGGGAGGCGCCGGGGAGCTGCTCTGTCCTTTGCTCCCTCCACTTCCACTTGGGTTCTCCCGCCTGTGAGGACCCCGGGAGTCCCCTGCCCGCCAGGGTCACCCCTCATTCCAAGACCTTTAATCGAATCACATATGACACATACCCCCAGCCTGGACGTCCCTGGGGGCCATTGCCTAGGCACCCACAGCATTTTGGCCAACATTGCTTATTGATGCACACAGAACTGGGGTGCAGGCCAGAGGTGCGGGGGTGGTGCGAGGACTCCCCAGAGACAGAGCGGGGGTCAGAACAGGAGGATCCACTGAAACACACTGCTGAGGGGCGGCGGGGAGCCAGCAGGGGTCTGCTGCCCCTGCGGTCACGCCTTGCTGGTGTGGTCAGGCTGGGTGGGGTGCGGGTCGGTGGGCAATGGGGTAGAGGTCCCCGAGGTGAGCGCCTCCGGGAGGACAGAAGGCGCCTGCCGGACTCGGACTCGGTCAGCTGACGGGAGACGGTCAGGAGAGCCGGGAGCCCAGGAGGGCCGGGCCAGATGTGCTCCCGCGCCGGGGGCACGCTCCTCCCCTCCTCCGTCTCAGGGTGCCCCCGGCCTGCTGAGCGGGCGGTCAGAATGTCCAGGCAAGGAAACGGGCCCCAGGCTGAGGTTCAGGCCCAGGCGGGGCCCGGCGGGTCAGTGTGCACCGATGCCCGGCCCGAGTCACGCCGGCGGGTTTCGTCTGGGCGCTGCCGGCTGGGGCGCTGGCGGAGCTCACGCCGGGGTCCCCTGACGCAGGCTCCACCTCAGGCGCAGGCGTCGGGGAGACAGCGAGGAGCTGTCTGAGCAAGGGGCTCACTTGAGAAAATGCATTGGGAAAGGTCGATTTGGTGGTAGACTGCGCTGTGACTGGGGGCCGCGGAGCTGTGGGGAGCCAGGAGTGCTGATTCTGTTTTTTAAATTTATTTATGTGTATCACGTTCTTCGTCTCGGCAGTAAGTAACCCCGCCTAGTCCCATCACCCTCGCCCCTGCCCTCTTGACACCCCAGTTTTGATCCTGGTCCCTTTTCCACCCCCGTAGAATGCCTCTGGCTTATAGACGTCCGTTCTCTTTCGTTTTTACTGTATTGCAATTGACTTTTTAAAAATTCATGCATGCATGCAAGAACTGGGGTCAGGCCAGAGTATGGGGGGGAGGATTCACCAGAGACAGAGTGGGGAGCAGGACAGGCAGGTGACGAGGTGCGCTGCTGAGGGGCGCAGCGGGGAGACAGGAGGCGTCTGCCGTGCCCTGGGGGTCGCCCCCTGGCGGGGGTTCGAACTCCTGCTGCTGGGGCTGCCCACGGCCTCACAGTGCTGCGCTCTCACCCGCTGCGCCACCAGGGAGCGCCCACAGTTGACTTCCCCCCTGATCCCTTGCTCTCCTGCTGTGAGTGACGCCATCTGATGTTTTGCTTTTTCTTTCTGGCTGGGAATCGGGGGTCACCTCCCCCTCCACCGCTGCCCCCAGCAAAATGCCTCCTGTGTTGCTTTTCCCTCTGGGGTGGCGCTGGCGACCGTCAGGAGTCCCGGGGCGCTCACTGAGCCCTGACTTCCAGGCGCTGCCAGCGGCCCCCCTCGCTCAGCCCTAGGTCAACCACCCGTGCCCGGAGAGGGCAGGGTGCCCCGCTCAGGTGTGCCGCTCTCCCGGAGCGGGGGTACACGCAAAGGAACCGTCCGCTCCGACCCCCTGGTGCGCCCCCATCTCACCGCGTCCGCCCCTCATTTCAGAGTCTGAGACAGCCATGCCTGTGGTGCCAGCCCTGCGGCGTGCAGGCACCCGGTGACCTGTCCTGAGGACGGTCCAGCCCGCCGCTGCCAAGAACAGGTGATGGGCGAGGGGCGAAGGGCAGCTGGTGCGCCTGGCCCCGCAGCAGCACCTGCCCCAGGCTGAGCTTGCTTGGCAGCTTGGCATCTCGGCGCCTTGCCAGTGTCGGGCTGCTCTCGGGGCGGGGGGCGGGGGCCGGGGGCAGCCGCCTGGGCCTGGGTGTCGGAGTCGGGCCTTCAGTGCGCGGGTTTCACTCAGCGTCAGGCGGGTCCCTCCCCGGGGGGCCGGGAGCTGGGGCTTCCGTGGCTGCTTCCTAGGCGCCCCTGCCCTGCCCAGGCCCACCGGGGCAGCGCGCCAGGGGGCCCGAGACGCCACCTGCCCAGTGCTTGGAGAGAGGGGCTTCCAGTCTGGGCCGCCAGGACACTGCTGTGCGTGTTGTTGTCTGTTTGATTCTCACCTGGTTCTTGAGTCACAACAGCGCGAGTCTTGGCTGTAAGCTGTGTGACTTTGGGCAAGTTATTTGACCTCTCTGGGCCTTAGTTCCCTCATCTGTAAAGTGGGCATCTGGCTCTCCCTGGTGGCACAACGGGTTAAAGCACGGCGCTATGACACTAGAAGCAGCCACTTCACGAGTTCAGTCCCGGCCCCGGGGGTGACCCACAGGGCGCGGCAGACCTCTCCTGACCCGCCCGCTCTCCCCTCAGCTGTGTGTGTCATCAGCCTGCCTGTTCTGCTCCCCATTCTGTCTCTGGTGAATCCTCTCACCCTCCACATCTCTGGCCTGCGCCCCAGCTCTGTATGCACAAATAAATAAATCTTTAATTTAAAAAAGGAGATTCTAATAGCAGCCACCGTATACAAATGAGCGAGAGAACAGCGCAGAGCATGGCATGACGTGAACCCTTAATAAATAGTACCAGCTCCAGTCACCTTCAGCGGTGCTGGTCTTCTGTTTCTCACCAAATAATCACATTTGGGGACTGGTTAAGTTTCGGGGAGGAGAGTGGCACCGAGCAAGCGCTGTGTGCCTGGGCGCAGAGCATATGCCTTCTAGACAGTGCGGGAAAGTCCCAGAGGCCAGAAGCACCTCTCAAGCGAACGGGGAGCCCGTAGCCCGGAGACACCTGAGGCTGAGACCTCCCTTCTTTGCCACCTGGCTCCACCCGATCACCCGAGGCACGCGCGTGGGCTCTCTGGCGCCCGGCCCCGGGCTCAGACCTGCCCGCCAGGGCAGGCAGGCCAGCCGGTGC